GCAGACGTAAACTGTGGTACAGTGTTCACCAGAGGTAAACTGTGGTACAGTGTTCACCAGAGGTAAACTGTGGTACAGTGTTCACCAGAGGTAAACTCTGGTACAGTGTTCACCAGAGGTAAACTGTGGTACAGTCTTCACCAGAGGTAAACTGTGGTACAGTGTTCAGCAGAGGTAAACTCTGGTACAGTGTTCACCAGAGGTAAACTGTGGTACAGTGTTCAGCATACTTAAACTCTGGTACAGTGTTCACCAGAGGTAAACTCTGGTACAGTGTTCAGCATACTTAAACTCTGGTACAGTGTTCACCAGAGGTAAACTCTGGTACAGTGTTCACCAGAGGCAAACTCTGGTACGGTGTTCACCAGAGGTTAACTGTGGTACAGTGTTCACCAGAGGTAAACTGTGGTACAGTGTTCACCAGAGGTAAATTGTGGTACAGTGTTCACCAGAGGTAAATGTGGTACAGTGTTCACCAGAGGTAAACTGTGGTACAGTGTTCACCAGAGGTAAACTGTGGTACAGTGTTCACCAGAGGTAAATTGTGGTACAGTGTTCACCAGAGGTAAACTGTGGTACAGTGTTCACCAGAGGTAAACTGTGGTACAGTGTTCGCCAGAGGTAAACTCTGGTACAGTGTTCAGCATGGGTAAACTCTGGTACAGTGTTCAGCATGGGTAAACTCTGGTACAGTGTTCAGCATGGGTAAACTCTGGTACAGTGTTCAGCAGAGGTAAACTTTGGTACAGTGTTCAGCAGAGGTAAACTGTGGTTCAGTGTTCAGCAGAGGTAAACTGTGGTACAGTGTTCAGCAGAGGTAAACTCTGGTACAGTGTTCGGCAGAGGTAAACTTTGGTACAGTGTTCAGCATGGGTAAACTCTGGTACAGTGTTCAGCAGAGGTAAACTTTGGTACAGTGTTCAGCAGAGGTAAACTGTGGTACAGTGTTCAGCAGAGGTAAACTCTGGTACAGTGTTCAGCAGAGGTAAACTTTGGTACAGTGTTCAGCAGAGGTAAACTCTGGTACAGTGTTCAGCAAGGTAAACTCTGGTACAGTGTTCAGCAGAGGTAAACTCTGGTACAGTGTTCAGCAGAGGTAAACTCTGGTACAGTGTTCAGCAGAGGTAAACTCTGGTACAGTGTTCAGCAGAGGTAAACTCTGGTACAATGTTCACCACAGGTAAACTCTGGTACAGTGTTCATCAGAGGTAAACTGTGGTACAATGTTCACCACAGTAAACTCTGGTACAGTGTTTTAGCAGAGGTAAAACTGTGGTACAATGTTCACCAGAGGTAAACTCTGGTACAATGTTCACCACAGGTAAACTCTGGTACAGTGTTCAGCAGAGGTAAACTGTGGTACAATGTTCACCACAGGTAAACTCTGGTACAATGTTCACCACAGGTAAACTCTGGTACAGTGTTCTTCAGTTTTATCTTGGAGAGAGTGAGTCAACCTTGGGAAACTCTCTAACCAACTGGGACACCTTATCATAAGACCTATCAAACATTCTATTTGCGGGTATCAGAACACACACACACACACACACACACACACACACACACACACACACAACACACACACACACGCACACACGCACACACACACCACACACACACACACACACACACACACACACACACCACACACACGCACACACGCACACACACACACACACACACACACACACACGCACACACACACACACACACACACACACACACACACACACACACACACACACACACACACACACGCACACACACACACGCACGCACACACACACACACACACACACACACACACACAATGTTGAGGACATCACATATGGAAGACCCCTCGGGGGCAGTGACCACGTGGTTGTGAGCTTCGAATACGTAGTAGAGTTACGAATGGAGAGGGGAGAAGGAAGGGCAGGACGAATGAAGCCAGACTACAAGAGAGGGGACTACACAGACATGAAAAATTTCCTGCACGAGGTTCAAAGGAACAGAGAGCTGGCAAGGAAGTCAGTAAATGAGATAATGGAATATATGACAATAAAATGCAAGGAAGCTGAAGAGAGGTTTGTACCCAAAGGTAACGGAAATAACGAGAAGGCCAGGATGAGCCCTTGGTTCACTCAGAGGTGCAGAGAGGCCAAAAGCAAGTGTGCTAGAGAATGGAAGAAGTATAAAAGGCAAAGAGCCCAGGAGAATAAGGAGAGCAGTCGTAGGGCCAGAAACGAATATGCACAGGTAAAAAACAAGGCCCAACGGCAATACGAAAATGACATGGCAGCGAAAGCCAAATCTGACCCAAAGCTGTTGTACAGTCACATCAGGAGGAAAACAACAGTCAAGGACCAGGTAATCAGGTTGAGAGAGGATGGAGGCAGATCACAAGAAACGACCGAGAAGTATGTGAGGAGCTCAACACGATATTCAAAGAAGTGTTCACAGAGGAGATAGAAGGGACTCCAGAAAGAGAGAGAGAAAGAGAGAGAGAAAGAGAGAGAGAGAGTAATTCTACCAACATTATTACAAGATTTCTGTTATATGGGATCAACTTTGTCATCCTCCTTGGTACGTTTTCCAGAGCATTTATATCCATTCTGTAATACGGTTACCAAAACTGTGCATCATAATCTAAATGAGGCCTAACAAAAGATATATAGAGTTGAAGAACAACCTGAGGACTTCTATTATTTATACATCTTGGTATGAAGCCAAGGATTATGTTAGCTTTATTGCGAACACTTACGTACTGTTGTCTTGATTTCAGATTACTGCTAACCTGAACTCCTATACCTTTTTCTCAATCCGTAATATTAAGATCTACATTATTTAGTTTATATATGTCATGGTTTTTTTTCCTGTCCAACATTAAGAGCTTTGCATTTGTCTATATTAAACTGCATCTGCCACTTCTCCGACCACTGCATCAGTCTATTCAAATCATCGTGGGGTGCTCTAATGTCCTCATTAGAATGAATCGGACGGTCTGTTTTGGTGTCATCAGCAAATTTGCTTATGACGCTATTTATTCCCTCATCTATGTCGTTTATGTAAATTGTGAACAACAAGGGGCCCAACACTGGCCCCTGTGGAACACCGCTTGTGACATGCCCCTATTCTGATTTCTCCCCACTTATGCAAACTCTCTGCTGCCTATTTGTCAACCATGCCTCTACCCCGGAAAAAAATTCTCCTATTCCGTGTGCCTTAAGTTTCCTTAATAGCCTCTGATATGGAACTCTATCGAAAGTCTTACTGAAATCCATATACACAACATCATATTCAATACCATGATCTACCTCCTCAAATACCATAGTGAAGTTAGTAAATTCATAAGACAGGAATGTCCCTTTGTAAAACCGTGCTGAGATTCATTAACCAATTTATGCCTTTTAAGATGGTTACGAATTGCTTCGGCAATTATTAATTCCATAATTTTTCCAACTATGGAGGTAAGGCTTATTGGTCTATAGTTCGAAGCGTTCGGCTGAGTTTTCTTGGACTGTAAGAAGGCTTTTGACACAGTTCCACGTAAGAGATTAGTGCATCAGCTGGAGGACCAGGCAGGTATAACAAGGCGCTGCAATGGATCAGGGAATACTTATTGGGAAGACATCAGAGTCATGGTACGTGACGAAGTGTCAGAGTGGGTGCCTGTTACGATCGGGGTTCCACAGCGGTCAGTCCAAGGACCGGTGCTGTTTCTGGTATATGTGAACATCACGGAATGAATAGACTCAGAAGTGTCACTGTTTGCAGATGATGCGAAGTTGATGAGAAGAGTTCAATGGGACTACGACCAGGCAGAACTACAAAGGGATCTGGACAGGCTGCAGGCCTGGTTCAGAAACTGGCTCCAGGAGTTCAACCCCACCAAGTGCAAAGTCATGAAGATTGGGGAAAGGCAAAGAAGTTCGCAGACAGAGTACAGTCTGGGGGGCTAAAGACTACAAACCTCACTCAAGGAAAATTATCTTGGGGCGAGTATAACACCAGGCACATCTCTTGAGGCGCACATCAACCAAATAACTGCTGCAGCATATGGGCGCCTAGCAAACGTAAGAATAGCATTCCAACATCTCAATAAGTAATTGTTCAGGACCCTGTACACTCTGTATGTCAGGCCTATACTGGAGTATGCAGCACCAGCTTGGAAACTACACCTAGGCAAGCATGAACGGAAGTTAGAGAAAGTGCAAAGGTTTGCAACAAGATTAGTCACGGAGCTAAGGGGTATGCCCTACGAGGAGAGGTTAAGGGAAATCGACCTGACGACACTGGAGGACATGGGAGATGGGGGAGGCATGATAACGACATATAAAATACTGAGAGGAATTGACAAGGTGGACAGAGACTGAATGTTCCAGAGATGGGACACAGCAACAAGGGGTCACAACTGGAAGTTGAAGACTCAGATAAATCACAAGGATGTTAGGAAGTATTTCTTCAGTCACAGACTTGTCGGGAAGTGGAATAGTCTGGGAAGTGATTTAGTGGAGGCAGGATCCATACATAGCTTTAAGAAGAGGTATGATAAAGCTCATAGAGCAGGAAGAGTGACCTAGTAGGTACCAGTGAAAAGGCGGGGCCAGGAGCTGTGAATCGACCCCTTCAACTACAACTAGGTTAGTGCAACTAGATGAATACACAGACACACACACACAGACACACACACACACACACACAGACACACACAACACACACACACAGACACACACACACACACACACACACACACACCACACACACACACACACACACACACACACGCATGCATGCACATACAACAGGCCTAGTGTCTAATCGACATGTGCCTAGGACCAAATGGTAACTAACACACTATACATACTGGATCCAGATATCTCTTGGTGTCAAGGTTCCTTGCTAGGCCAAAAATTCTAAGGAATGGATTCCTGCACCTCCTAGCCAAGGTACATACTGTTACTCTTCATCTTCACATGCTCTCTCTTCTCTCTCTCTCTCTCTCTCTCTCTAGAACCTACCTGGTGGTACAAAAACCTTGCCGCCAGATGTTTTGAGCACATCTTGTCCTCCCCAAGCTGCTGCTGCTGCCGCCTGCTGCTGTTGTTGCTGTTGCTGCGTCTTGCCCTCCTCCGCCGACACTGTCGAAAGTTGCCATATTATTACCATCATCATAATAATACTCTCTGGTGAAACGCTAAGCCCATAGGGGGTCTTACAGAGCCTGGGTAAAGGGAGATTATCAGGACTGATCCAACTAAGGATCACAGGCATTTCACGAGCATCAGTACACCACCTCAAAAAAGGTTGGTGTAGTTAGAAAGGCGAGGCTCAGGTGCCACAGTGTGGAGTCTGACAATGTCAGAGTTCACATAAGACGTTGTGGTAACGACGAATCATACTGAAACTAACAAAATAATTATCATTCTCTTACAGAAAATAATATGAATTCTGTATTTTTTAGTTTTATTAATTAATTACGCCCTTATCGGCAAATTATAAATTGTAAAATGAAACTTACATATATATATATATATATATATATATATATATATATATATATATATATATATATATATATATATATATATATATATATATGAAAAGTCAAGTAAGGTGATGTAAGTTGTTACATAAACCTCAGTCAGGAGACAGAACAAGTGACCTCAGGGCAAAGGTAGCATCAGGTTTCCACTGGACATGTGAGATGTTGAAACTGGGTCATAATGTAATCATATCTGATCCAGATATTTTGATTTTATAATACAATTTATGTTATATTATATATATATATATATATATATATATATATATATATATATATATATATATATTATATATATATATATATATATATATATATATATATATATATGTCGTGCCGAACATGTAAAACTGGTCAATTAGCAAGAACTCATTTAAAATTAAGTCCTTTCTAAAATATTCTCTTATACGTTTAAAGATATATTTTTTTCATTAATGTTGATGTAAAACATTATAATTTTGCACCAAAAGAATCTTAGAAAACTTACCTAAACTTTTTATAACAAGCGAAATTTTTTTTAAAGCCTAACCCAAAAATTATATTTTAGTTTTGGTTTACAAAAATTTTAAATCCCTAAACGAACCAGGGGAAATATATTTTTTTGGGTGGGGTTCAAAAATGATTTTGGCGAAATTTTTGCATACAAAAATTTTCCCCTTCTCCTATATGGAAAGATGAGCGTTGAAATTTAACCAAGTTTCGCAATTTTCTCCCTATTGGGAAACGACTTTATATATATATATTATATAATATATTTTTTTATTTTTTATAAAAATTATGTCGTCCCGAATATTTTAAAACAGTCAATTAGCAAGAAAAACCTTTAAAATTAAAGGGTCCTTTCTAAATTTTTATCTTTTTATTTTTAAAGATATTTTTTTTCATTAATGTTAATGAAAAAAAAAATTTTAAAATTTTGCCCCAAAAGAATCTTAAAAAAATTTACCAAAACCCTTTTTTAAAACCCAGAACATTTTTTTTTAGCCAAACCCAACTAAATATTTTTTTGATTTTTTTTTACAAAAATTTTTAATACTAAAAAAAAACAAAAGTGAAATATATTTTTTTCGTTAGGTTCAAAATTTTTTTGGGCCCAAAATTTTTTGCATACACAAAATTTTCATTTTCCTATATGGAAGATGAGCGTTGCCTATTTAACCCAAGATCGCAAGTTCTGCCTATTCGGCCGAAAATATATATATATCTTTATAATATATAATATATATAAAATTTATATATAATTTATTATTTATATATAATAAATATTACAAATATATTTATATATAAAATTTATAAAATTATATATATATATATTTAAAAACACACACACAAAATATATACACACCCACACATATATATATATATATATATATAATATATTTTATTATTTATATATTTTTTATATATAATATATATATATATTACAAATTTAAAGCAACTTCCCCAGAAAATATTAAGCATATAATTCCAAACCATGACACATGTATCATTGCTGCACCCCTTTTACTTCCTCCAAAAAGTTTTACAGTATTGGAAATTAAAGTCCCTTTCCCGGGTTTGGGAAATTTAAAGGTTGTACCCTTATAACTTTATAGCCAAATCTCGGGCCCCAACTTCCCGGGGGCCCCACCAATGTAAATTTTTTCTGCTTACTGCTGCTTTCATCCCCCTCTTCCTTTGGGTTTTTAAAAGGCTTCAATTTCTTTTTTTTGGGGTAATAGACGGGGTAAAGCCCCCAGGTTCTGAATGTGTATTTTATTTATCAACTTTTTGGCCCAAAAATCTTTTAATACCTTCTTAAAATCGTTAAAAAACCTTTTAAATTTAACTCGTTAATCCCCTTCTTAATAACTGGGTTAATACCCTCTTAACCCCCCGGGGAAAACTGCTCAGCATTTTGATGAGGTGTCCCCCCTTTCAGGATTTAAATATAAAAGTCTTCTCTTGCCCTTTCTTCCATTTTCCTCAAAAGTTTTGTAAGCAAAATGAAAGGCCCTTCGGGTTTTTATTTTTTTTTTCCTGTGGTTTTTCTTTTCAACTTGTGATAATTTAACAATCTTTTATGTGGAGCGTGAAAAAGGGAGTGAATAAACACGTTGAAAAAAAAACAACACAAAACCTTCATAAGAGATAAATAAATAAATGAAGACAATGACCAAGTTGAAGACAACTCTCTCACTGAACGTAATGTGATATTTTAATAAAGTTTTTCTCTTTTTAAATTTTTCTTTTTTACTATGTCGAGAAAAATCTAGTGTTTAAATTTTCCCCTTGTTTTTGTCTGTGTTTTTCTGGCTAAAAACCTTTTACAGGTGTTAACATTTTCACTCCCAAGGGTTTTTTCTTGGAGGGTGTTCAAGGGGGGTGTTTTGGGGGGTGTTCTTTGGGGGGTGTTCAAGGAGGGTGTTCTTGGAGGGTGCTCAAGGAGGGTGCTCAAGGAGTGGAGGGTGTTCAAGGAGGGTGTTCAAGGAGGGTGCTCAAGGAGGGTTGGGCAAATTTAGCTTTTTCAAGGAGGGTGTCAAGGAGGGTACTCAAGGAGGGTGTTCCTGGAGGGTGTTTTAGTGAGGGGGCTCAAGGAGGGTGTTCAAAGGGGGGGTTCCTGGGAGTGTTTTAAGGAGGGGGCTCAAAAGGGGGGGTTTAAGGAGGGGGGTTCCTGGAAAAGTGTTCAAGGGGGGTGCCAAGGGGTGTTCAAGGAGGGGGTTTCAAGGAATTTTCAAGGGGGTGTCAAGGAGGGGGTCCAAAGGGGGGGTGGGTCAAGGAGGGGGCTCAAGGGGGGTGTTTAAGGAGGGGGTTCCTGGGGGTGTTCCCAAAGGGGGGTTTTCAAGGAGGGGTAAAAAGGAGGGTGTTCAAGGGAGAGGGTTTTTAAAAGGGGGGTGTTCAAGGAGGGTGTTCAAGGAGGGCGCTTTAAAGGGGGGGTCTTTTAAGGGGGTGTTTCAAGGGGGGTGTCAAGGAGGGTCCCCCAAAGGGGGTGTTCAAGGAGGGGGCTCAAGGAGGGTGCTAAGGAGGGTGTTCAAGGAAGGGGGTTTAAGGAGGGTGTCAAGGAGTTTACTCCCCAAAGGGGGGTTTTTGGGGGGGGGCCAAAAAAAGGGGTTTCTCAAGGAGGGGGGGTAAGGAGGGGGGGTTCAAGGACGTGCTCAAAGGGGGGTGCTAAAAGGGGGGTGTTTAAGGTGGGTGTACAAAGGGGGGTGTTCAAGGAGGGTGTTCAAGGGGGTGTTTTAAGGAGGGTTTTCAAGGAGGGTGTTCAAGGGGGGTGCCAAGGAGGGTGTTCAAAGGGGGGTGTTTAAAGGGGGGTGCTCAAGGAGGGTCTCAAGGAGGGGGCTCAAGGGGGGTTTTTTCAAGGGGGGTGTTCAAGGGGGGTGGGTTTAAGGAGAGTTTTTTAAGGAGGGTGTTCAAAGGGGTTTTCAAGGAGGGTGCTCAAGGAGGGTTTTTTCAAGGAGGGGGTACAAGGAGGGGTGTTCAAGGAGATTGGGTTAAAAGGGGGGGTTCAAGGAGGGTGGGTTTAAGGGGGGGCTTCCCAAAGGGGGGTGTTCAAGGAAAGGGGGTCAAGGAGGGTGGTTTAAGGAGGGGGCTCAAGGGGGTGTTTAAGGAGGGGGGGTTTAAGGAGGGGTGCTCAAGGAGGGTGTTCAAGGAGGGTGCTCAAGGAGGGTGTTCAAGGAGGGTGTTCAAGGAGGGTGTTCAAGGAGGGTGCTCAAGGAGGGTGCTCAAGGAGGGTGTTCAAGGAGGGGTGCCAAGGAGGGTGTTAAAAGGGGGGTGTTCAAGGGGGGTTTTTCAAAGGGAGTGTTCAAGGAGGGGTTTTCAAGGAGGGTGTTCAAAAGGGGGGGTTTCAAAGGGGGGTGTTCAAGGAGCGTGCTTAAAGGGGGGTGCTCAAGGAGGGTGTTTTAAGGAGGGTGTTCAAGGGGGTGTTAAGGAGGTGTTCAAGGGGGGGCTCAAGGGGGGGGGTTGGGGGGGTTTTAAGGAGGGTGCTCAAAGGGGGGGTCCTCAAGGGGTGTCAAGGAGGTTTTTCAAGGGGGGGTGCTCAAGGAGGGGGCTCAAGGAGGGTCCCCCAAAGGGGGTGTTCAAGGAGGGTGTTTTTAAAAGGAAAAAATGTTTAAGGAGGGTGGGGGCCCCAAAGGGGGGTGTTAAGGAGGGGGCTCAAGGAGGGTTCCCCCAAGGAGGGTGCTCAAAGGGGGGTGTTCTGGAGGGTGCTCAAGGAGGGTTCCCCCAGAAAGGGGGGCTCAAGGAGGGGGGTTCCCAAAGGGGGGTGCTCAAAGGGGGTGTTCAAGGGGGGTGTCAAGGGGGTCCCCCAAGGAGGGTCCCCCAAAGGGGGCTGTTCAAGGAGGGGGGTCCCCGGAGGGTTTCCCCAAGAGGGTGCCAAGGGGGTGTTCAAGGGGGTTTCTCAAAGGGGGGGGCTCAAGGAGGGTCCTCAAGGAGGGTTTTTTCAAAGGGGGGTGTTCAAGGGGGGGTTTTCAAAAGGGGAGTGTTCAAGGGGGGTGCTCAAGGAGGGTGTTTTTAAGGGGGTGTTCAAGGAGGGGGTTCAAGGGGGGTGGTTTAAAGGGGGGGTTCAAGGAGGGTTTCAAAGGGGGGTTTCAGGAGGGTGCTAAAGGGGGGTCCCCAAGG